ATAGCAGTCTTCTTATACTGAACTACTAAGAAATGAATGACTAGTGCACACTAGAGTGTGTCTAGCTCAAAGTTACACTCCACTTCTTTTTATACATCTTACTGAAATCAGAGAACAGAAATGAACATCCATCATTCTACTCATCTATACCTTTATAATCAAGTTTGCCTTCTACATTTGTCTCTTTGAATGAAAGGACAGAAAAAGCAGGAACTGCAGCATTTTGTAACACTCTGCAGGCAGCGTCAGCTTAATTTATACTGAGTAGCTGATGCTGAAGATTTTCCAACAAATAGTCATCAAGGGATAGATGATCTCATCCTGATATCTGCATGAAAGCACTGAAACACTGCTCAGTTGTCCCACTTATAGGTGTCCAGTGCTGCTTGAGGTGTCTCAGCTAGAGAAATCTCACGGCAGTTAACCCAGGACCTATGGAAGACTGGAGCCCCTCTGGAGTGGAAGCTGAGGAATATCAAAGGTCTCTAGATACCTCTAATGGGAAACTCAATTGAGCCTTCAGTGTCCATAAGGAAGCGCAAATAATACAAGTTTCCTCTAGTTGTAAAGTGCAGAGATAACCTTATTTCTTAATTGCTGTGATCTGAAGATGATGACAGGCTGTTTTGCTCCTTCCTAATTGCTTTAGCATTTGATTGCAATACATATGCTCTTCTTTCAGTAGCAGATCTTAGATTGCTCTAAACAAGTTAATTATATTTCACAACACACTTGTGCATTAAGGAAGTATTAATATTCCCATTTTTCAGTGCAGGAAAAGGGGAGGAAAAGGAGCCAAGGTAAGTGGCTTACTGAAGGTTAAACAGTAAATGAGTTCCTCTGAAGAAGCACTCCAGTCTTTCAACTACAGCTTGAATCCCCCATGGACCACTAACTTCTATGCTAAATGTAAGAATGATAATAAATGCAGAATTTTAGGGTTCCAAACTGCAGAAAACCATCCTACACAAATGTCTTTGCGAAACGAAGTTACATCAAAACTTCAGCATTCCAAAAGGTCTGTGTAGAGATAAACATCTGCCCAGAAATTCAGAAGGCTTTGACAATCCGTATCACTGCAACGACAGCAAAAACCTGCAGGTAAAAAGGATGGAACAAGACTGAACTCAATTTGCTAGGCAGCAAATGGAGCACCACCAAGATAGACGTCCTTCCCTGAGAAAAGGGCATCTCATCATCAGCCTGCAAAACAGTTGTACTTGGGAATAACTTCTGAGCATATTGGAAACAGTCCCATCTATCCTTCTTTTCTATAAAGAAACAGCCATTTTAAGCAGATAATTCAGCAGATAGGAGAAAAAAAAAAATTACTGCTGTAACTTCCAGATGTCTCAGTCAGGATGAGGGACCCGCTGTGTTTTAGGTATTGTATGAAGACGTATGTACAGAGATTATAAACCAATTCAAGCAGAGACAACAAGTGGGTGTAACAAACAGCAGGAGGAATGCAGTAAAGAGGAGAGATGAGAACAATTACAAGAATTAATGTCTGCACATGTTGCTATAAACCCAATCTTATATTCCAAAATGTATAAATGGGAAGTTATATGAGGTATGAAACTAAAGATCTGGTCTTTCACTAATTTCTGTTATTATTGCTTTACCTGAATTGCACCAAATGAGAGAAGCAAAAACCAGTGATAGGCAGATCAAATGTTTTATGATTGTGTATATCCAGGCTGATTCCATCAGTAACACAAATGGCAGGCTTTGGGGTTTTGGTTGGGTTTCTTTTATTTGTTTGCTGTTTTGTTTTGTTTTTAATGTAAGGCCAGGTAGTGTAAAAACTTGTACCCGTACTCAACATGTCCAGCTCTCCCTACAACATTCTTGAGGTGCCTGCTTAGGTTTTATACTCATTTTTTACCCCATTCACTCACTGGGTATGACTAGTAAGTTTTTTAATCAATACACACGAGATTTTTCCCATAATTCACATTCAAATGTCAGGGACAAGTCCCAGTGACTTTGGGGATGGAGTTTGATCTTTGTTAATGGGATTACATAGTTTGATTGCCTGGAGTAGCAGGGAGCTTCACTGAAGTAATCTGGACCCTATTTACTTCCAGATTTGTGAAATACTTGGTATGTCTAGACAACACACTCAGCATTTACAGGGAACACACAGATATATACCTTATACCCAAGACAAATGAAGACACTACACAGCAGGATAAAAGCACAGCTCAGTCTCCATGCCCTATTCTTTCAATTTTAATGACTGAGAAAACAGCTTCCCATTAGCTGTCTGTCAGGCACCGTCCCTCATGTCAATTCTATTCTTTTAAACCTCTTCTTTCCACAAAGTCCTTCTACGGTATACTGATCTTTGCTATTGTGAACTGAGAATACCAGTTTTATGCCAGATGAAAGCTACTAGCAGGCTCTAATCTATTTATCTATGTAAACATTTATAGTTCAGTCAGCATTATGGACTTTGAGCATTAATTCATTTCAATAACTATCATTCTGACCTGGGTTCAAATCAGCATCTGTCCCATGCCAAACCAGCAAGCCATATCCCCACAACAAGGGCCCTGGCATTTAGAAATGTGTATAGTTTCTAGAAAATATTGCCTGGAATAACCAGATCTAAAGAGTCTTTGAGACACCATAGATCTCACTTACATCACTGGACTGTTAACTTGCTTGCCAGGAACATCAATTGATGTATTTCAAGTACTGTTAGCATAAGTTAGCACAATTCCTACTAGACGAAACTGTGGAAATTGCACGTTCTCTGTCTGATGAATGGAACAGGGCATGATCATACAATATACATTGAAATGAAACTGGTATTTGAGCATGAACATTAACTGGACATGAGCTTTTAATACTTAGGATGCTGTATTCTTGTACCACCAGCTTTCTACATGTTGATCTTTGTATCTGAGAAAAGCTCCTTCAGTCCTTAACTCCAAGGATATCACATCCAATGAAAAACATTACATCATTCTTCACATGTACATCCAGAGCACAGACTACATAAGTTGACTGTAAATCAAATTCATTTTAGGGCTCTAAGTGATTTTATGTAGATTTTTGCTAACATTTACATCTACAGAAATCTATTTTCCTTTCAAAAGGAATGAACTATCATCTTGTCTTCTGCCCACATCACTAATTCTTCAGTGGGACTATGTGAGTACATCATTGCACTGCTCCTCTATTGGTCAAAGGATTGGGTCTTAGACAACTTTTCCTTACCAGTTTCCTTTTTTCCATTCCACCAAATTTTACCTATTTCCTGAGTCCCTCGTAGAATTAGAAACTAACATTTTTTGCTTCCTTCCTTCCCATTAGCACCCTTGTTGCCTGCCTAATGCTGCCAACATACAAAGAAGAAATAAGTGATAGAATTCTGCAGTCCTTAGCAGGGATTCAGCTTGGCAGAGAGAAAACCTACTGGGTTTAAGGTCTTTTAACTATCACAGTACCCTACCGTTTTGGAGACATTAGGAAATTGTGACTGACCACCTGTTGGATCCATATGCTTTGAAGTTGATTGCCAAGCAAAGGAGCTGCATACAGAGTGCCATCAGTACAGCCTCCTGTGCGTTTTCTCAGGGGAAAGGAGGAAAGGGGTTTTTGCATTAAAAGACATTTTGCAACACATAAAATGAATTAAAATGAAGCTACAGCAAATACACATTCAGAAAAGCACCTGTGAACAGCAAGTTTTTGCCATGCAGAATTTTGACCTTATGGTAAGGAATATACTGTTATTGAAATAATCAGATCTCTGTTAGCACTAACATCTATGTGTTCATTGTGAAGCTGTGGAGGAGACTGATGTGGCGATTTCAGCCTTCACCTAATTAAAGACGTAGTAAGGTTTAACCTAAAGCTTAATTGTGTATAATTTTCAAACAGATCTGCTGAGCAGAAAGATGTCTGTTCTGTTGTATTCCTTCTACACCAGGAAAAACTGTTTCTAACATTTCATTTGGTAGACGTGAGGGCATAGAGGATGACAGACAAATTGACCACTAAAACCAAACCTGCGGAATAAAGATGAATAATGAAAGCCTGTGCTATCACTTCATACTTCCTGCAAGTACTGCTGTACAGTGCTTAGCTGCCAGCAGTTCTGCTGCAAATCTGAGCATATGGCTTCGAGTTGCTCTGCTCCTGTACTGATGCACAGAAAGATGACACACTAGTATACAAATTACCAGTAGGGTTTTTTTCAGCCACTTTTCTGTAGGTTGCATATGAACCTCCTCCCCATGCCAGGAAAGGAGAGCATTTCATTATGGTTTATTTTAAAACACCATTCAGATCATTTTACTGAAAACCGCTGCACTGGTGTAAATCTCCTTTCACCACCACATAAACACACTCCCCAAGACAGACTCAAAACCTAACTATAGAGTTAATCAAACTATCCACTTGGGCTGATCAGTTGTTAACAGGACAGAATAAGGACTCTAAAGGTCCCTTTGGGCTCCATTTAATGTGTCTTTTTATACTGTGCACACTATGGATTATATTGAAGCAGCATTTTGCTCCAGTTGCTTGCCAACAAACATTTGCCATGAAGGAGCCCTGAGGAAGCAGTCACATCTGTGTCCACTCCTGTACCACCCATTTAGCAGAGACAATGATCACTAGAAACAACAAAGGAGACACAGATAAAACAAACAATGCTGTGAGTCAGAGATCACAGCCATCCCAGGCAAGTTTGTCATGAAAATACTCAAGAAAAAGGGAGGGGAGAGAGATATCAAATATAGAACTATAAAACTTACACCTAGAAAAGGTTTTACCCACGCACCCACCCAACTCCACATTTGAGGAGCATTTTCTAATGCGCCGCTAGGATTGAGCAAAAAATACTGAGCAGTGCACATGGGAAACAGACAATCATCCAACGTCTCCTCCCATTTGGAGTCAAATACTCTCCTACAAGTCACTAGACACAAGGAATAATATAATTGCTATTATTACAGTAATGATAGTAGTAGAGAATCACCAACCTTGAGGATCCCAGTTCACCTGTTTTCTTGGAGTCTCGATTGGAAATTTCATCGCTTCCTTTTTGCACAGGGAGAAAAATGAATTAAATAAATCCCCAACCTTCCTGTCTGAATGCTGCAGTCAAACAAATTAATTTCAAATTATAGGGAGCCTGCGCTGTTTGACTGAGGGGAACTGGTGGTTGCCAAGGAAAGAAATACACAAATAAATCAAGGAAGGTGGGGAGGGGCGGGAACGGGAGTGGAGTGGTGAGGTTTGTACCGGAGAGGTGAGGAGGGGTGCAGGCACCCCGGCAGAGACAGGGGTGAAGAATGGAGTGAGGACCGGAGAGGTTCTTGGGGGGGGGGGGGGGGGAGCGGGAACGGAGGGGGCTGAGCTGGGCAGCGGGTCCCGGGTGCCGCTGGCTCCTGGGGAGGCTCCCACAGCCGGCTAGCCCGGCCCACCGGCAGATGTGTGTGAGGGTGGCGGGTATCCGCTGCAGCCCGGCCCCTCCGCGCCCACCCGAGGGGCGCCCGTGCTGGCGAGCCCACAGGCTTGCAAGGATCGGGGAATCAGCGTCTCCTTTCAGCCCCAGGGACACCTCCCACACGCGCACATTCTCTCCAACCTCAGACGCCCCCCAAAAAGGTGCCCACCTCAGTTCAGTCCCCGGCACTAGAGGGGTAACAAAAGTCAGCCCGGGGGGGCGAGCCGCAGGGGCATGGCTGGGCGAGGCTGGGAGGACCCCGCTGGCTGCCGCAGCAGTCCGGCTCGCCGAGGAGAGACGGAGCACGAAGAGAAGGAGAAGGTGGAGGAGGAAGAGAAGGAGGGAGCCACCCTATAGCTTTGGAGGGAATTCACGGAGCCCCTCTCTGCTCTTTAAAAAGGGGGTGGGGAGAGGCTGCGAGTCTTTTGGAAGAGGCGGTAGCAGGATGCCTTAGGGAGGGGGCAGGCTCCGGCTGGTACCTACTGGGTATCCTTCCCTGGAGGAGGATGCAGGTTTGTTTGGCGGAGTTTGCAGCCGGAGACACGCTCGGCTAAGCTACGAGGCTCAGTAGCTACGGCGGCAGCACATGGCAGGAGTACAGCAGCATCAGGAGGCTCTGCAGCGCAGGGGGAGGGGAAGGGCAGGGAATCATCCGAGCCCCCGCAGGCTCTGGGGGACCAGAACCGGGCAACCCGAAGGCCGGGGGACCCCTGCTCCCCTTTCTGGCCCCGCTGCCCTCCGCGCTGCTAGCAGGGACAAACACCTCGTGTCAAGGCAAGGGCTGGCGAGACAGAGCTGGAAGATGTGGCTAGGCTGCGGGGAGGGGGCAGGGAGGAAGGCTGGAGAACTCTCTCTCGAAGCCCCCCTTAGCTCTCAGGGGGATTCGGGGAAATGGAGGACGCTTGGTTTTGCCTTGTGCAATTACCAGCCGCTGCTTTCCAAGGCTGCGTTCTTCCTCCTCTCCCTCCTACCAGGCTTTCCCTCAGACCCAAAACAGGCTGGTAACACCAGCAAGATCTCCATTTCTAGTTCTAATACAAGCCCCAGCTCCCCCTCCTTTACCCAGGAAAACAAAACCCCAGCCCCTCTGGGGGCCTGAAGAAGGACGGTGTGAGGTTAACCCTATCCTGTCTCCTCTCTTCCACAGTAGAAACCCACTCCTTGTGTGAAGGGGACTGTTCAGTGAGAATGGTTTAGGGATGAGATCCACAAATTCATGTGGGTCATGTGTCAGAGACCTCAGAATCAGTACTGAGGTCCATAGCCAGGACCTACATTTTCAGTAAACGTGGTTGTGATTTAAACCTGGTGCCTGACACAGTTTGTCCCCTGCATTTTGCTCTGTACTTCTTTTTGATCAACTGTTCTGTCTTGCTTTCCTATCTGTTGCTCAGATGTTAGGTAACCTTGTAAGACAAGGGAAGAAATTTGCCCTGGTGAGGAAAATAAACAACAACAACAACAAAAAAAAAGCAGTCGGAAATGTGTGAGTATCTTGAGGAAAATCTTGTGGTGGAAACTGGCATATTCTCTTCATATCCACATTCCTAAGCTAAATACACACATCTATGTTTGTCCCCAGTCTTTGTTGAACCCTAAACAGGAAAGAGAATTCAGTATTTGTGAATCCAGCTCTTCATTGGTGGTGGTGTGCAAGGTCCTGTAAAGCAGTATGTAGTTTGATAAAACTAGATGGAAATAATGCAGCAAGTTTTCTTAGGGGGAGGTTCTGGGTGTCTCTCCCTAATCCAAGCTCCCCTGTGGCACTTGTTTTGTGCTGTAGAGGAGGAGGCGGGAGAGGCTGCTCTGAGGGAGGACATGGTAAGAATGATAATGAGCCTGCTCAGTAAGACTTGAATTTGAGATAATTGCAATGATGACATCAGGAGCATAAGGTATTCCCTTTGCAAGCAAACCATGATGCATTCTAAACAGGCTTTGGAATTCCTGTTGATATTACTTCTGCAAACTGAATGGAAGCAAAAGTGACAGTTGGCATTTCTAATTGTGCTGTGTGATCGCTTGAATCATGCTTGGGAAATCTTTTAATGATTCCAATAACCAAAGTGTCTTCAAAGAAGGCTTCTGAACCCACAAGAAGATCACTTATCAGGTATGTATCAATAAAGAACTATTTATGTATTTATACGTGCATACATATATAACTTATATAAGCATGTATATAACTTCCTCAGCATTCGAAACAGTTTCCAGTTTACTGGCATCTTCCTTGTACTTTACTGGGAAACACTAACATATAGACATATATTACTCAACTGTAACACTCTAACCCAAGCACTACTTTGTGACATAACTAACAGCAGTTAACTGATGAGATGGGTATTGTGCCACAGGCATCTGACAACTGAGAACTCTCATAAGATCACTGAACTCAAACAGGCCATTGTTTGAGTTCCACCATTAGATCACTGCAAACATACACAGGAAGTCTATAGCCTAGAGGTGAAATCTTCAGGTAGTTCATTACTGGAAACACATCCTGGTTGTCACTGTCTAAAGAAGAGGAATTTTCATGTGGCCGTATAAATCCTGTATTAGTAAACTGACCTTATAGAGACATCTCATATTTGTTTGACTTACAGTAGCAGTAAGTAGATAATAATGACACAATGCTATATCCCTGTACCCTCTTAATGTTCCCATATTCCTCAAAAGTGTCTGTCAGCTCTACAGAAAAGTTTGCTCTAGCTGTATGGTTTGAAAACCTTGTGGCAAATCAGTTGTGATCTGTTAGGTACATAAATGCATGACATCATGTAATTGATTTGCAATTTTTTTGCCATGTTAAAGATCATGGAAATCTTGCTCAATTATTTCAATGCCTCAGACCTGCAGTTTTATCTAGTGGGCCAGTTTAATCTCAAAGTAAGTCATTTAAAATCAATGGGGTTACTCCAGAGATGGATTTGGCACAATGAGTGCATCTTTCACTGAAGCACAGCTGTTGCATAGAAACGTAACTATTATCTTATGCAAATAAAAGGCCTTTTACCCCTCAGTGGTGGTGAATTCTTGTGATAGGGAGAGCTGGTGCCTTGAAGCTACAGTGTTTCAAGCTGTTACTCTGCCAACTTTTACAAGCAAAGTAGATTCAGTAATGTTCAATATTTAAATGAAAGACCACCAAGAAAAAAAAAAGACAATAACTATAGCATGATCAATCTAAAATAGTACCTGCATGAGAATTTTCAGGACTCAACTTTATATCAATAGTTTATCAAACTGGTCTGACTAAATTTTTCATTTAGGGCTCATTGTTCAGACTTACTGTCCTTATAGTTGGTTTTATTGGAGAATCGGTGCCTTACAGCACTTGGCCTGTAACAGTCACAACACAATAGATAAAAGGCTTTCTATTATAAGTGAGCTTACTGAAAAAAGAAATAAAATGCTAAGTGCACTTTTACTGTTCATTAGTAATATGGCATGAGTGATTTAGAAGTTGTTCTGGTGGAACTCAAACGAATCCATAGCAGAACAGACAAATAAATAGTTCTTATAGCTACTTAAATCCAGTGAGCAGGAATGGAAAAATGCATTGATAGTAGACAGAAATCACCTTAAACTTGTATGTTCAATTTCTTGGATGCACTGAAGGGATGAGAAGTCTAGACAGTCTTTGCGTCATCACATTGCAGCATGCTCATTTGTGTACGTAACTATTCATGGTTAACTATATGGTTGTTTGAAATCTGGTATTTCTACATGTGAAGATCATTCTTTATTCAGTTTATTGCCACAGGAGTGCTGTTATTTACACTCAGACCAAGGGAACCAGAGAATAACCCAAGTGAAGTGCATCCTGTTCTTTATATTCTATTGACCCATCTTCTAGTAGTATGAACTTGGACAGGATCCAGTGCAGAATCCTTTTATAACTTCTTTATTCTCTAGGAAGCTTTCTGTCTAGGAAGACTTGAAAAGCCTTCTCTCTAGGATAACCTTAAGACTTTTTTTTCAGATGGTTCTCAAAAGCTTTAGAAATGAATCTAGGAATCAGGAAGTTAATTAAGCATCAGGACTACTACGTACTGTGCAAGGAAAAGCAACTTACTGGTTTTATTGCCTTCTACTGCATGCAGTTTCTTACCACTTTTTAAGTCATAGCATGCAGTGCTGTGTCTTCATTCATTCAGGGATTAATCCAAAGAACAGAATTTATTGGCAGAAACGGTTTCAGTGACATCAGTGAATATACCTGAGAAAATTACACCTCAGTAATAACCTTTGCCAGGATGGTGTCTTCTCAAATCTGACCTGTTTGAGTTACCACAGCCTGTCTGCAGGTTCCTTTAGATAGGGACACTAAACACAATACGCTATGGATCCTGCCTCTCATATCTTAACACATCGTTCATATCCTCAGACCCACTTTGAGCATCCACCCTCTAAATGCCGGAACAGAAGAGGGGGTACCTAGTTCACATCTTGTAATCATCTTCATCATCATTTTTTTCTGGTAACTATTCCTCATTATCCACACTTCAGCTTTCAGACACCTGTTATATCAATCCCTTTGTACAGCCAGGAGCACTACAGTGTCTGGAAAAGTGCATGCACATTATTAGTCTAATAGTATGTAGCTGGTTTTTTTTTTTCCAATAAAAGATCTGCCATGTAAAAAAGTATTACCTCAACCTGCACAGTATTTAGTCTCTTTCTGAATGCGCTTACATCTGTTTCACATTAGTTTAATTTGACTTCAGTACAATTACTCCTGAATCACAGTCATGGGAGAATTACAATCTGGCTCTCAGTTTTTCCATTAGGTCCCTGAAGAATCCTCATAAGATCAAAGGCTGATATCTGACAAAAATAGCAAGCCTGATTAATAAAAAAACCACCAAATCCATTTTATAGCAATACTATTCTCTTCCCTCATGTCATTTTTTAAGATTTCTTACTAGATAGATACATGATGCTTTACCTTAGCAGGCTGATAACTTTCCTCTATATTAAACAGGAAATTTGGGGGTTAGCTTTCGGAGATACCTGTGTTTCTTTGCCATTCACACCTGCGGCTGCCATCAAACGGAGAGTACACGCAGACGTCAGCCCAGTCCGTCGGCGGCGTTCAGCACCCTGGACAGCTCGGCTGCCCGCTCCCGGGGTCCGGGCGGAAACACCCGGTGCCAGAGAACACGGGTATGGACCTCCCCGGTGCATGAGCCTCATGCCCCATGGGAGAGTTTGGTCTGCCAGGGCAATGCAGTGTCAATGCAGTGATAATGCAGACTATAAAAGAACATAGCAGCAGGCACAGGGGAAGAGTAGCACACAAAACATCTGGAGAGAGAAAATGAGGGGCAGTGGATGAAGGGCAGTCAATATTAGGAACGTACTAACAGAAGTATGGGCAACTGTGCTAGTAAGGAGGTGAAAGGAGAACAGGAAACCCCCAAAGCCTGTGATGCAAATGAAGGAGCAGAGAATAGATGGTCTCGACATGAGAAGGGTAAGAATAAGTGGGTGGGACACAGACACTTCAGCTTGAACACACAATCATAAAATGGTTTGGGTTGGAAGGGACCTTAAAGCTCAACTAGTTGCAATCGCCCTGCCATGGGCAGGGACACCTTCCACTACACCAGGTTGCTCAAAGCCCCATCCAACCTGGCTTTGAACAC